AGTTCGGACAGATCGAATCTTGGTCGCTCTTCATCTCTTTTTCTAAAGTTCCGGACCAGATCCATAATTGGCAGACGAAAAAAGTAACAATATTGTTGCAAACGGAGTCTTTTTGGCTTTCAATTTGAAATCAAATTTGTATATAATTTAAACTGAGCCCCTGCTGCATCCCTTTTTCTATAGTTCTGAACTAGTTTAAAATTCGACAGATGACTCCTACTTCGTTCTGTATCCCTTTTTCGATAGTTCTGAGCCAGTTCTACATTCGTTATACATATATAGGTTTCTAATGAAAATTTTTGTATCTTTGGGTCTTATCACATTTTCCGTAATTATTTTGGGCTTTGCAAATTTGCGTCTCACAAAACAGAAATGGTTAAGAATAACTTAGGTAGGTAGTTCGATCTTTCAGAAAACTTTTCTTCTTGCGTTAATATATATGGACTTAACAGCAATTTTTCACTCTTAACTAGCGATATGTGCCAAAAGTATGGAAAAATCAGTTTAGGGAAATCGCTTATTAAAAGCCGAATGTAGGGGCCAAGAGAGCTTTTAAATCAAAAATGTATATACATATATATGTCGGCCCATCGCCATAGTGAACAGGAGCTCCTACTTGTATGAAGCTTTTTTTCTAGATGAATCGGACAATATTATCTTTGTCAAAGCATTTTTCTGGAACCTTGGATCTACTAAGGTGAAAACTGATAAAATAATTTTTTACTGTTGCGATAAGTTCAAGTTTTTTATTGGATATCATATAACATAGTAATGAAATTTTTTTTATCTAAACTTGAAATATATATAACGGCGAAGGTTTAATGTAAAGAATCGGTATTGGATACCGAAAAGGAAGTATTGGGTACCGAAATCTTTTTAAAGTATTGTGTACCGAGTATTGGGCACATCACTAGTGACAAAAATCTAGTAGTCTAGAAATTAATTTCACTAGTTGAGAGTTTCTCTGCAGGGATGTCTGTCGGATCATTATTATTACACTGACTGTGGTTACGAGGGATTTTATTAATATTCTCCATAATATTTCACCTGCTTGTGCTTACCCAGCTGGACTTGGTTCCTTCCAAATTGTAATGATAGCATGGTTCTTTTTCACCTCAGAAGTAGTTCCAAAAACATGAAGTCTTTAATCCTCTAAGAAGGCAATTTTGCATGAGGTGGTTGTAGTTGGTTTTGGAGAGCTTTGTAGATATTTTCATTCTCTTTCGGACTTATTTGCCGAAGTCAAAGCATTTCAAGTTGCTAATTTTAAATTTTTTCATACAGAAATAAGTACTTTGAAAAGGCATTATTTTCGGAACCACATTCTGCACGTTCCGACTGGGTACTTCGGTATGCCTAAAATGTGTGCATGTGTATGTACAATGCATGCATACGTACATAAATTTAATTTCGCTCTCTTACTGAGTGCAATTTAATGAAAATTGAAAAACATTAATTGCGATTGCAGTCCATGCATTTATATATTTTTTCTTTACAAATATTTATGTACTATATGTATGTATTAAAGAATAGTAAATACTAGTGTGCGACCGAAGGTTCGGCCTGGTATTCGGCCTATTCTTCTGATTTTTTACCTACGGCCTAACAATTAGGCAATTCACAAGGTGTTAAAATTTTGTTTTTGTTTCGCATCTCTACATAACACTTTTGAAAATGTAAGAACACTATATGTATATTTAAAAAAAAATACATAAAAATACAATTGCATTCTGCTGTGATTTTGTAGAAACATGTGCGCTATTTGGAAGTTTTTCAACAGAAAAAAGTCAACTGCGATTTGCAATGTGTTCCAGAAAGACCTTTCACTGGGAAGTGAAGCGTCAAAAAAACAAACAAGCTTGAAAAAGGATTTACAACTGCATCCTTCCTAAAACCAGGAATTTTTAGCGGCTGTGGAAAATGTATGTTTGTAAGGTGTTCCTTTTATTAAAACTAGTGAACACGCATGGCGTTAAGACGCCCAAAATTGAATTTCAAAAACTTAAACAATATTCCAAATGTTAGTCAGAGCTATAAGAGATCATATTTCATCTAAAACCGTACAGCCGTTTCTGAGTGAAGATAAGTCTCGCCTAGTGTAGGTTTTTAATTTTATCACCCCATACCGGTGAAAATTCCTTAATTAAAAAAATAGAACTTGATCACTCATCTACAGGCTAAGGTCTTTAATTTGACCTCTCATTTTTGTAATACCTTATCAAAAGTATTCTCAAACTAAAATCGTCTTAAATCTCTTTCGTCTGACATTGTGATACACACGTATTTAAATAAACTGATGAAATAATTTCAATAAACTAATTAACTAATTTTACCTAATTCCCTTAATGCAAATTGAGTTTGGTATCTATAAGCAGGTGGAAACCCTCGGATAGTTCAGTAAAGAAACAAAGCTTTTCAGAACCATTTCGATTAATACCCATTTTGTGATAATTGATTTATTTTTTAAATATTTGAATATAGTTTTATAAAAAGTGGCAACTCTTTTCAAAAAAGTAAAACCTTATTGCACATCTGCAGTCCAAGCCTTTTAATATGCCACCTCACTTTGGAAAATCGAACGAACCGTGCGGAGATGATGGCAACGATTATTCAATAATTTATGGTTAAGTGTACAACAGGTGACAACTCTTTTCGAAAAAGTAAAACAAACCAGGCGTTTTAATTAGACTCCTCTTTGAATTCAAATTGATTTTTTTGCAATGGATTGAAATTCACTCGGAAGTGAATTGCAGAAGCTGCCAGAGTACCTAATTTTCGGCATCGGCCAAAATTCCGGCTTCGGTCGGACACTAGTAAATACATAAATACATGCTAAGCATTATTCACTTTTAACATTCATTACATGTACATTAGGTAGTATTTTCGATCGGAAATCTCTGTTTTCAGTAATAAATAATACCCAATTGTTTGTTTTACCATTATTTCATAGTAACTTTATTTTATAGGTCCGCTATAAACCCTAGAAAATGTAAAATAAAAAATCTTTAGTATTAAAAAATTGTTAAATAAACAATTGAGTATTATATTGGGAGTCACCTGAAGAGAACCAGAATTTTCCGATCGAAAAATATTGGTTTTAAAGAATTATATACCATTTCTACGAAAAGTTTTTTTTCCATACCTATAAAATACGTGGAAAACGTTGAGCCTTTTGAGCGACCTCTATTTATTTTTTTTTTAATAAAAAAAATGTGGTGCATAGGAATAAGAAGAATTAGGGGTGAGAGCATTAAAATGCCGACTTTTATTTTATTTTTTTGGTCCACCATAATGTATATCCTTAAGCAAATTCGCTATGCAGGCAAAAACCTGCTCTTATTACTGAGTGGAGAAATGCACAGATGCTGCTGCTGAAAAAGAAGTTCAGTCTGAGATACTCGCACATAGACAAAGTTTTGTTCAAATGACTAAATAATTTATTAAATGCAATTTACTTGCAAGACAGCAATTGTACAACTAGCATCACTGTGCTACTAGGTAGCGGTAAACTGCAGTGAGGAAATAAATATCAACAAAAATAACTGCTTGAAAACTACTAGATAAGATCTACAGCTGTTACGCTTAAAATTTTAATGAAATCGAATAGCACTTTGGAGTACTTCAAGTTCAATGTATATGTACATTGATATACATACATAAGTATGTATGTATCTACATGCAATTACATCAATGCAGTTAATTTAAAATTCGCTAAATAAGAAACGAAAAGTTTTCTTCGGAAAATTGTTTGTATCAATAGTTTTTATAAGCACGTCTACAGAGTGTAATGGGGTTTGATCGTTCTTCTTGGTAAAAGTTAGAACTTTCTTTTGAATACCTAAAGGATCACCTCATCGGACATTGCTAGTGCTAGGGATGAAACGATACTTTTACCTGTAAGTAGTATCGAAAAAAGTATCGATGCCTGTAAAACATCGGCGATAAAGTATCGATACCTACTCGTATCGGTACTCATTAGTTACTTTTTTTGGGCAATGATCGGGATCCGGATAAAAATTTTACATAAAAAGCAACAACAACGATGTGTTATGATCTGTTCTGTTTGTTTTGTTTTTTGATGTAAGTTTGGCAGCACTGCCTTGTTTTTGCTCGCAAAAAAAGTTTGCAAAGCAAAATGTGATGTTGGATTAGGAAAGCCAAGGTGTTGCTCATTTTCTCCATACAAAAAATAATTGTCGAATTACTTTGCATGAAAGAACTTGCGTGAAAAAAAATTACCAAAAATCAGTGCAATTATCTAGCGACTTCAAACTTGCACTTTGTTAAACTAAATTTGAATGGGCTATAAAACTGCATAACTAGAATTGTTCTAAAAAACCTGAATAAAAAGTTTAACTCAATGTGCAAATTTAATGAATTATACTTCTGTTCGGCACTGTACTTAATTTTCAATTTTTTACCTTCTTTGTTATATTTTCGAATTAGTATTATTTTACACAGTTGAAAGTCACAGCAAGTTTGAATATTTTCACAGGTTTAGAAAACAACGAAAATTCAAAAATTTTGAATTTTATACAATTATTAAATTTCTCGAGATTTCTTATTTTTAGGATAATTACCAAAATTTCTATCTTTCTATTCTAGAAATTTTGGTAAACTGAGAATATTTTGAAATATACAAAACGATTTAAAAACGCCCTGTCTCAACTGAAAACATATCGAAAATATGTTGAGTCTTGGCGTTTTCAAACTGACAGCCGAGATAGGTCGATCTTCCACTCAGGTGTCGATGTGTAAATGTATTCGTCAATTGAACTATATGAACTAAAGAACTAGTTCACTAAGGTGAACGAATTACAACTAAACGGTTCACTCAAAAGAACTAAAGTGCTCAACCCTAGATCGCATCGATCTCTTCTCTTCATTCTCTTCAATGTCTTCTATTTTTCAACATTCGATTCTTCCAAAGAGATTCTTCTACTGAGAACAAATGTGTTCGCCGCTCCAGCTTAAAATGTTTTCATTCGCTAACAAAACAAGCTTCATATCAGTATTCCATCAACCGATCTGGTGAACGTTTATAAACTATGTGAATAAGATTCGTGAACTTAGCTTTACAACAAAAAAAAATAAAATAGTTAAAAACAATTTTGGTATAAGTAAATTAAGTGAAAATGTTGCGTCAAATAACTGCCACGCGTTATCCACAATTGTCGTTCGTTCAACAAGTACTGCAAAGGCGAAGCTATCAAAGCAAAAAAGGTGTCTATGGCTACCGGCCGTTGCCCAAACGCGTCTATCGAGGTAATGTGCAACAATTCAATTAAACAAACTACAAACTTAAAAAGGAATAAATTGTATAGGACAAATTTAAGAATTACTTAAAAATATAGAATCTGCTTTGCACAAGTATTCATATCATATGATTATAATTTATAAGGCAAGTGATAAGCCTCTTGTCGCTAAACGTAGCAGATATATTTTTAAATCTATTGCTTTAAGCATGTACATATGTAGTATGTATGTATATTTATTAGGGTGACCGGCATTTCTCTTATGGCGGATGTGTTAATATTGCAAGCAAAATGTTTGAAGTTTACAAAGCTTGACTGTTATCATATACTTAGTATTTTGAGATAGACTCTGTATAGACTGTAGACGGAAACTATAGCCAACATAGAATAAAAATATTAAAAATAGAAGCTGTGAAGTTGGGCTTACTTTGCGCGATCTCTTTTGCAAAACATTAATTTAAATTTGTGATTAAATTATAATGAAAAACAATATTACCAACCAACAATAACTACATAAAATGGAAATTGATCATCAACTCTCATCGTTATATGAAAAACAATATTACTATTGTGTTATGCTCTCTGGATCAATTTGTTTTAGTTTGGATCATTTACACTGGCGATCAAAACTTAATGCATGGCGATTTTTGTTAAATATTTGGAATGATTTTAAGCATGTATGGTTTTTTTTTTATAAAAATATGTTTCAAACTTCAACCAAACGTAGTGTAAGTAAGTCTAACTTTTGAATTTTGAAAATATGACCAACAGATTCGTAATCAGTAGCTCCAGGAACCCACTGGAAACGTGTTTTAACCCTTGACAATGTTTAAAACGTTCAATATCAACATTTTAATTTTAGTGTTTTTTTGTAATTTGATCGCCATATTGGATCCGCCATTTTGAATTTAAAGAAATTGACTTCAGATTCGTAAGCGGCGACCACAAAAACTCTCGAGTGCCGGGTTTCGAACAAATCCAATCATTTTTTAAAAAAATGGACCGCCATTTTGGATCCGCCATTTTGAATTTCGAAGAACTGACTAGAGATCCCTAATTAGCAACCCCAGAAACCCCCTGGAAACAAGTTCCAACCCATGACAATGCGTAAATCGTTCAGTATCAACGTATCAACTAGTCTCTTTTCGAGAGCATATTTTCGGGCACTAGGCCCATTCTAACTGCCCAAGACAGGTATGTAATTAAGGGAATGTTCCCCAATAATACCAGAGTAATTATATGTAAAAAACAAAGTTTTAGCTGCATTTTAACATGTCAGGAAAATAAAAAAATTTAGAACATCAGCGTTTTTATAAAAAACCGACCAGCGCGACCTCTAAGAAAACTTTTTTTTTCAAAATACAAAAACACGTTTCTCTTTTTTTATCACAAATAACAATAATTTGAGGAAGCGTTTATGAATTTCCAAAAAAAAAAATTTTTAACCACTCTAGTGGATATCTTGGGGGTTATTTGGAGGTTCTCATGCCATTCCCAAGGTAAAATGGGGCCACAATAAAAAATTTAACGCGCAGTCAGGCAGCCTTAAAAGTCTTTAGACTCTTTTTAAATTGCATCAAGGCTTGTGGACAGCTGTAAAACTTATTTGAACCACCTGGCAGCCCAAACTAGCGTAACGATATATTAGGTTTCTTGACATGAAGGGTTAGAATACAAAGCCACGGCTGACTGTCTCGCAAAGTATGGAGTCCAAATGCGCTTGCTTGGTCCCGAGCCTTTTGTGGGCTGGTGGAGGAAACCCCACGTCTCACTAATTGCAGACTGATACACTTTGGGGAACGATTGTCTTCTTCATCCAAAATTTAGAACATTGCACCCTTCAACGTGCTTAACTTCTTAAACAGTGTAAGGTGGGAGTGATAGCAATTAGGCTTAGCACAACAGAGACATCATAGGTCGTAGCGGGAGTAGTCCCGACGTAATACTAATATGTACATACATATGTATGTATAAACTGTAAAGAGACCTACATTGGTATGTTTAAGTCTGTACAGTAAAATGAATTGTTTACGCAGTTAATTCGTTTTTATTTTACTAACTCTGATTTGGTTTTACTAAATGTTATGTTATCTCAATTTTTAAAGAACTTGTCATTGGAAAAAAATTTTAAAAACTCGAAACACATTTTTGGTAGGGTTTGGTAGGTTTTGATAGGAAAACAAATTTATCCATGGCAACACTGGTCTGTGTTTCATATTTATTTTCTAATCACTTTTCAATTGATAAGAAATACAAATACGCTCTCTTCCCTCTCACACTTTCTTCTCTTGCACTTCTCTTAAATTAGTAGCTGGAGGCGAAAATCAGGGCTGCCGACTATCCTTAGCTATGAAGTGCCATATTGAGGATAAAAAAGTGCTAAAATATGCCACAAAAGGTGCCATTTTTTTTAAATCTTCCCATTTGCATTTATATTAGAAACACACACAAAAATATGTTGAAATATTACTATTTTTCAAAAGAGCCATTTGAGGTAAAATAGGGCCAATAATGGCACGGTTTGGGCCAAGTTGGCAGCCCTGGCAAAAATCATTTAGTAATAAGAAACCGTGCACATGTACATATGTACATACATACATACATATATAGGAAGTATAGATATGTATTAGACTGGGTCGCGACAAAAAGTTGAGCTATAAGGCAAAGGCCAATAATGCAAACTTTTGTTACAATATGTATTTCATTTCTCGTTGAGCAATAGGACCGACATTTAAATTTTTCAATTGAGTAATAAAGCAAAAAAGTGCACATTACGGGCATAACTATACGCTTGGAATGTTCACAATCCACATGCAAATAGCTTTATGCGAGTTTATAATAGTAAGCCGTAAATTAAAAGAAAAAAACGACTACGACAATAAGTAACATCTAAATTTAATATTTTTTTTATTACCTGAAAATTTGAATAAATAATATTATAACATAACATTAACAGTCTATACGACCTAAAGCACTTTTCATCAGAATGTGGAGACTTTTGAAAGTTTATAAATAAGTATGAGACCGACTTTTGCAAGAGTAGTCCACATTTGATGCTATTTTTTCATAATATAGAAAGGTTTTGCACTGTGTTGTTAGTGGACCTACCTTAAATACTGGTACGTTACCCACCAAAAGCTCAAAATCAGAAAAATTTTACATAGCGCACTTTGCAAGTGACTGCTCAATTCTTTAAGCGTAATGGCTTATTAACGTGAAGGGATTTATCATTTTTTTCGTCTTTTTATCAAAAAATTTACTTGGAAATGTAGATGCTAAAGGTTATTAGTAACAAAAAAATGTAAGTACCGGTTCGCCAGGTCTTGAAATTAGACACATTTTTTAACGAATTTCATACAGCTTCGGGCATATAATTGGATGTTTTCGCGTGACTTTGCTAATATACGTATATTATTTTCGATTTTCTTAAGTTTCTCAAATTTCAGTTTGTTTTTGTGAAAAGAATTTTTTAAACAAATGCAAAATCTATAAATGAAAATATTTATAATTATTATTAAACGACAGGCGGAGAGCTTTACAAACTTAGAATACAATATATCCATCAAAGTGCACTACCACCACAGTCATCTCGACCAACCCCCAGAGAGTTTTAGATCCTATAGCAAATAAAAAGGGGAGCGGATTTACGGATTTACCAGTACCTGCTTGACCTATGGAAGGGAAATACAAAAGCCGATCTTCGTCATATGATGGCTGACTATTGCTGGGGGATGCAATGTGATTTTTCATATCATAAAAATCTGTACATCATATAACAAAATTGTAACAGGCCGATGTCTGTACATCGGCGATTTAAAAAAACATATGGGGAGTCTATATTATAGAGCAACAGAAGCCAAATCAAAAATTTTTAGAATTTTTGTTTGCCCGTCTGTCTGTCTGTATATTTGTACTTTTCCCCGATGCTTTGCTAAAGGTTTAACTTGAAGTAAAGGAGAAAAATAATTAGACAGTTGCCACATGTTTGAAAATTGCAGTTTAAATGAATTCATAAGACAAAGTAAATTTTGCAATATGGCTGCCAAAATACAGAGCTTTAGGAAGGCTTATAGTCGAAAGTACTTTTGTGCGAAGGTTGCCACTTGTTTGGAAATTATAAATTGATTTAATTTATGAGATAAATTAAATATTGCAATATAAATATTAAACGGAAGACGTTAAGAATATTCTCATTTTCGTTGTTGGTGTTTGCGACAGGGTAGAAGTGTGATAAAATGCGGAACGATTTTCCGTAATTTCTTGTCAAATTAGGTTTGTGGACAAACCGGTTTCGGCGTTGTGCCATCTTCAGTGTCATTTTTCGTTCTGGTTTAGAAAAGTTTACTTCCAAACTATTTTTGAAGAGGGTTGCCACCTCTTTGAAAAATTTTATTCAATTATTAAATTGATAAAAAAAATGAAATGTTACAAAACGGGTACCGAACTAAAAAAGTTTAAGAAAATTTGCTGCCGAAAATATTTGTGTTGCTGGTTGCCAGCTGTTTAAAAAAATTTATTCAATTAAGGTGATACGATAAGGTAAATACTGAATTAATAAGTTCTCCTTTAAAAAAAAAAGTGCACGATATGTAGAATCGAGTTATAAGATTACATATAAGTTAAATTTCCAGGATTAAATACATTCGAAAATATATGTTTTGACTCCTGTATTGTATTTTTATCATTCGTATTAAAACCCATCTTTTGAAAAAATATCAAGCTACTAACGATGAAAATCGATGTATAAATAAACAAGTTGTGAATGGTCATATGAAAATGTGCAATAATTTTTTTTGTATGAAATAGGAGCCGGAAATAATGTTACTCGTGCGCCATATCTTCATACTCCTACATGGCGTATGAGTAATATTTTCCATATTAAAGCTTGATTTGTTTTATTCGCAATGCAAAATTAAAATTACATTTTCTTGGGAAATTTATCTGATCTAGAAAAGTCGTGTACAGATCCGTAATATACGACCCAAAATTATGTTTACATGCCTAGGCGTATTTTTGTGTCATTTTAGCGTCCCTACAGTGATGTCGAGCCAGTAACCGCCAAAAAACGTGAAATTTTTCTAAAAATTTTCTATTATATGCAGCAACGCATCTGTGTAGATGCTGTAGGAAAAAGGACGCTTACAATTTTTTTGGGGTTTGGGACTTGATATGTTAAAAATATTCTTTATTTAACATCAATCACAGTAGGAAAATATTTACATAAATAGTGCCTAACCAAGTAAAATTACTGCCTTTTTCTGCGCCCATCCTACCAAACAGCTCATTTTATTATAAATGTAAGAGTTTCTGGCAGTTAAAAACAAGCTATTGCTTTCACTTTAATCGGTAACAGTCGTAAATCCTAAAATAACAATCCTCTTTCACCATTTAAAGTTTAAAGGCAGCCTCACAGCGCCCAGCAGCTCAGCCACTCTTACACATAAAACACATATCGAACCCTCTATTTCAGTAATTATACTTAAAAAACTTTTCTTCTTTCTTCTTTCATTTGTTTGCATAACAGTTTCCGATGAAGTTCTACAATCGAGAAATGCTCAAGGCAATGTTTATCGCTGGGTGGAGGCCTATCGCAAGCATGGACACAAATTGGCATCCGTCAATCCTATTAGCATTAGAGACCAGCAAAGGTTACTATTATACATAAGTACAAACTAATCGTACAAGTGTGCATAGCACATACAAATACACATATGTACATAGTCATACAAACTTCATTTAACCCGAAATAATCAGCCAGCCATGAACTGGTTGTGAACTCATACCACCCACTAAATACTGTTTTTTTGTTTGTTCACAGCAGCACAATCGATGAGTTGAATCCACAATTTTATGGGCTTGCGCCAGAGCAGACTGTGCAACCGCAAGGTTTAATAAGTGGGCCACAGCTGACCGTGGGTGGCGCAAAAACAGTGGCAAGATTAGCACAATTGCTGGAAGAAATTTACTGTGGTGACACAATTAGCGCGGAATTTCACTACATAGAGGTATGGACAACCAATTTAACTACAGTACAGTAGACTTAATTGCTTCTGCACATGGTTTAAAAACTATAGATAGCTTCAGAAAATTCCCCACTGACATAATTTTACATAGCTGAAAAAATTTAATTTAAACTAAAGTAAGGACTTTACTGGCCAACCAACCACATTGTTTTTGTAAGTTATTTCTTAATTTGTCTTATGTGTTTGAAGATCCTTCATTACACATTCATAGCGAATTTTTTTTTGGACCCACCACAAATAAATTTTGACGACTCTCGCTTACGATTTGCGGAAGTGCACCTGAAATGTCTGGACTTCTATAGGGAAAGTGCCTATATCCAATCGCTGCATGCCCTCGCAGAGTACAAAGTTGGCATCACCGCAACCCGATGCAGCGAACAGTGGAAGATCCGCACTTAAAATTCGTCAAAAAGTGGCGTTCGTGCTCCGATTTTGCTATAATTTTTTTAGTTGTAGTGTTTTGCACCGCACTAGGTGCGGAAATGGAAAATGTTGTCGAGATTTAATGAAATGCGGGTTGTTTTCCGCCATAAAAACTTAAATCTTAAAGACGATAAAAATCGGCGACTGGTACGCCCTGCAGCTATAACAAAAACCAGTAAAAAAAGTAAATTCGAAATTTAGACATTCGGCCACTTTCAGACTACTGTGCGGCGCACAAGTGAGTGAATTGCCACGATCCGCATAATATTAAAACTGTGTTTGGCAACTTTAACGCTAAGGTGTGCAAACAAGGCATATTTGGTCCAGCAGTCGGAAAATTCAGCCTTCATTACAACACTTCCGACAACAGGGAGGGACTGATCGGCTTCGCCGCGACACGAAACCTGGCAGCGATGTTGCTGCGAATAATTTTTAGCGGTAGCGAAATTTCTTTTAAAAACGGGCTAAAAAGAGCTAAAAAAAAGGGCTAAAACTCGTTGTGGCTAAAAATGCCAGCTAAAATTTTTTACTTACATATACGACACCAGTTTGCTGGCACTATCAAGAGATTGTATCATCAGGCTCGAGGCATATAATGTAGCAGCTTGCTGGTACAATACTTATTTCTTTACAAATGAGGTGCAGAAAAGATCGAAAGGATTAAAGCCGAAATTTCATAATTTTTTCACAAACACCGGCTTTTAACCCTTATAAAGTATATAGTGCAAGAAATTTCCGGTAAAATACTGTTTACTTAAAAAATGAGCTAATTTCACCACAAAACCAGCATGCTGGTACAATCATAATATTTTCAAATAGTTTTTGATGTCGCACCAGTAACTGGTACAATCACACCGCGTGTAATGAAGAATATGTGCCAGCCAGTGCGACGAAGATTCAATGTCGAGCAGCTGCAGTCGGAAACATATAAATCAACATTTCAAACTTTGTACAAAAATTATAAAAATTCAACAAATTTTCAGAACAATCTCAAACTTTTTATTCAGAATTTTTAGAAAAGTTTATATATGCAGTTTAATATCCCACTAAACTCTAGTAGGATAAAGGGCAAGTTTTAAATGTTTACAAAATACCGTTGATTTTTCATAATTTTCCTTTTACATAAGTCGTGCCCTATTCGGATCTTAGACTTGTATAATGAGCTAGACTTTTATAAGAAAACAATATTGAACATTAAATAAACAATGTTTGAAGTGTGCTAGCTTTAAAAAAAATATATAAACATTAAATAAACGAAAGAAAAATAGTCAAAACTGGTCAAATTGTCGACGTGCTTGAAAACACCTCCAGGATTTTACTAAATGGAGAAAAAGAATACCCGTATTTTTTTGTAAAAAATATATATATATTTAACCCTGCCTCAAAGGCCGTGAATTTTCCCATTTTTCGTAGAAATGGTGTAGAATTCTTGAAAGTCGTTATTTTTTATCGGAAAACTTTGTTTCTTTTCAGGAAACTTCCAATAATAATATCCAATTGTTTGTTGCCATTTTTTAATACCAACGATTTTTTAAAGGTCCCTCATTGTATTTTTTGGGGACCTATAAGAAATAGTCAATAATTAAAAATGTTTAAATAAACAATTGGGTATTATTCCGATCGAAAAATTTATTTATTTTTTTATTCGTCCACAGATATATTCTTACATACTATTACAAATTAATTAAAATATTTAAAAAGATCATTTCTTGCTTTTAAGCAGTTCTAAATATATATATATATATATTTAAAAAAAAATAAGGGTATTATTTTTTCCATTTAGAAAAGTCCTATGAGTGAGGGCTTAACATCTTGAACTTTTTCCCCGCATGTATTTTCATGTACCCTAATGTACATACGTATATCACTGCTGTGTGGCCTTTTCCTAATGCACACCTACATATACATATATAACGCGTAGAGGCTCACATCGGATTTCATGTCTGTTCATTTTTAATCTACCCTATCCCCACCCTTCTATTTAAAATATATGTATTTCTGGTACTACGCTAATACCTCTAACTAACTCGCTGCATCACTTTTTTTTTTTTTTGTGCACGTTGCTGCCACAGAGCCTCGAGGAGCGCGAATGGCTTGCGCATCATTTTGAACGACTCGTTGCTGGCCATCAGCAACAGGATGCAGAATTTACAATTAGCAACGATGCCCGGCGTCAGATAGCCGAATTGCTAATCAAGTCACAGACGTGGGATAATTTTATGGCGATAAGATTCGCGAGCGTTAAACGTTATGGTGGCGAGGGTGCTGAAAGCCTTTTGGCCTTCTATTGGCAACTTTTACGCAGCGCCGTGCAAGGTGAGTTCAACTGCAAATTCTCTTCAAACTTGTTTAGCCGCGTGTACTAGTTTTAAATAGGCAACACAGCCAGTGTTCCTTAATTGGCACTCATTTCACTTTTGCCATTATTTATCAACTTTTTTGCATTTCTTATTTCTGCTTCAAGTTGACATTAGCGATTTGGTAGTGGCCATGCCACATCGCGGACGCCTGCCACTCCAAACAGTTATGCTTAATATGCGTCCCGCAAAAATTTTCCACAAACTTAGCGGCGAATCGGAGTTCCCAGACGATGCACAAGCGATGTCCGACACTTTAAGTCATTTCCGTAAGTTTATCACTCAAGCAACTGTTGCAAAGGGTGAAGGGATAGCCAAAAGCTTAATAATGAACTTTGTAAAGTTGCAAGTAGTTTTTGCTCAAGTAATTTAATTAGAAAAGTGACTTTGTTACACCTTTTTCCACTTTTTATAATATGCGCCCTTAGATTCATCCGAGGACTTGGAGGTGGAGGGCAAAAAGATACACATAAGTTTATTGAGAAATCCATCGCATTTGGAGGTGAGTAGTAAGTTATGATTTTGTTTTGTATTTTTATGCAATATAGATTTCCGAATTTTAACAACCGAAAATGTTGCGAACATAATTCTAGCAATAAGTCTAGCAGTTCATTTTGTCAGTCTACATATTTTCTTTGCTACTCTAGTGAGTTTCCCAGACACATATGTATGTGTGTAAACAAGTTGCCCTACAGCAATAAGGCGGCCAATTTTCCGTAAAAGACTAGTACTTCCCTGGTTAAGATTTGACTGGTCCGAATTGCATCGAAAATGTCAGCCTTCGACCAGTCCCCAAGCAATCGGTTTAGAGATAGACGAAAAGTACAGTTTGGCAGTGACAGGGTGGTGTTGTCTTGCAATTCAATAAAAAAATTTAAGAACACCACCCTGTAAATGCCCCAATCGCTTCCTTTGGCCTTGATTCAAAGTGAACATTTGAACACACATTTACATGTTTGGCTGTAGCTCAGTGCGCAGAGATGCTTGCCACTATTTCTTAGCTTTCAGAAGGGTCCGGGTTCAAATGCCGTCAGAAGCAACATGGTTGTAGAATGATAAAATATTTTTTTTTTCTTGTGTTTCCGAAATATAAAAAAGCATCTGTGAAGTGCAGAACGTAGTCGTGGTCCAACGAAAAAAAAATCTCCAAAATTGGATTAGTCCAGGACTATCTACGGTCACTGTTGAGTGGACCGGTCCTTTTCCAATGGCACGCCAATGCTAAAAATGGCAGTTGAAATCATTGGCACGGGAATTATGAGGGACTAGTGCTGGTAACAATAGGGACTATCTGAGGGCTAAGCTAGGGTGAGTCTGAATTGCCGCAGGGTGGGTCCAAGGTCCTCACTTACGCGGTTTTGCATTATCTTGATACGCGATTTTGTACTTCAAATGACGATATGTACATATGTCGTATCGGTATATTATAATCGATATTAGGTGCAATCCCGTATTCCTCGGACTAAAACTAGTAAAACTGTCAAAAAATAAAAACTCGCTCAGAGCGAGAGAGTAACATTGAAACTTCTGTCAACTTCAACATAACCTCCAAATTTTGGTTGTAAATTTTTGCTTATTTTGTATTAAAAAACACACTCAGCTCACACATATAAATAACCAAAAATACTCTCAAATTCATTAGAATCCACTTAAACCAGCGATGAGCAGAGAGAGCTTTTACTCTGCACGCTCCTATACAAAAGGTAAAGGAAGCTAAAAAGAGTTTTGCCCGCGGGCAAGACTGTGCCCATCAGTGACTTAAACAAGTAATTAAATACTATTCAATACGAATTAGCAGAGTGCACTCTTCTTTTGTTTACAATTTAGTTTCCAAACACACTACAGCTGATCGTTTGACACATTTACCACAATTTACCAGCAAAAAATTCTCGGACTAAAACTGGTAACTTCTGACAGAGAGGGGAGCTCATTTACTCTCTTTTTTGTCCTCTCAATAGTCAGAGAACCGAGTACGGGATCGATTTCCAGTAAAATCCGACTAATTCTGACTATTTCTGACTAGTCCGGACTCGTACGGGATAGCAACTATTATTAACAATATTTTTATCGATTTGAATGACCCAAAACTCCTCTCAAAATATGCTTTAAAACTATGGGAGCATTTGCCGATAGGGGCCAGAAAAAATTTAAAAGCTACTTTGAGCCCTAATTTTTTTAAGAATAGAAGTATAAGGAATAAAAGAATAATTTGTATAATAATAATGGATTTTATTGTTTCGTCCTGGAAACAGTTAAACCTTTTACAAGAGAATTATTACAATTGTATTCATTTACTCTTATACCAGGCCGTTAATCCCGTCTCAATGGGTAAAACTCGCTCAAAACAACAAACACTTCGTGATGGCGCCTTTAGTGCTGACCCAATAACGCCATTTGGTACAACAGTCTTGAATGTAATTATTCACGGCGACGCTGCATTCGCCGGCCAAGGTGTGAATCAGGAATGTCTTAACATGGCATATGTGCCACACTTTGAAGTTGGTGGCAGCGTACATTTGATTGTGAATAATCAGGTTGGCTTCACGACACCCGGAGAACGCGGTCGTTCTACAGATTACGCAACTGATCTGGCCAAGACTATACAGGCACCCGTTTTTCACGTAAATGGAGATAATCCAGAAATGGTGACCTTAATAACTCATTTGGCAATGCAATACCAACGCGAATTTCGAAAAGATGTCTTCATTGATATGAATTGTTTCCGTCGTTGGGGGCATAACGAAATGGATGATCCAACCTTTACGAATCCCAGTGTGTACCAGATCATACACAATCGCAAGTCGGTTTGTTGAGTTTGTATAACCAGATTACCGAAATTGTTTTACAAAGCATAATTTTAATTTCATAGAACTGTGCCGGATTTGTATGTGGAAAAGTTGATACAATTAAGTGTACTTTCTAATGAAGAAGCTAAAGCAATGCGTCAATCTTATTGGGATTACTTAGATTCGGAGTTGTCGCAGGCAAAGAGTTATAGACCAGAAGCAAACTATTTCAAAAAACAGTGGACGGGTTTGACAAGTGCAACAGAAACAATCACCGTCTGGGATACCGGACTTGATTACCAATTACTTAATTACATCGGACATCAGAGCGTTTATCATCCGCCAGATTTCGTAAGACACACTTAAGTTAAACACATAGCACAATGTGTTTTCATAATTTTGCTTTTGCAGAACGTACATCCACATCTTTTGAAGACGCATATTGAGGGACGTCGAAAAAAGCTTGATAACGGCGAAAAAATTGATTGGTCCACTGCGGAGGCATTGGCCATCGGCAGTCTAATGTATCAGGGTCACCACATACGAATAAGTGGTGAGGATGTGGGGCGTGGTACGTTCTCTCATCGTCATATAATGTTGGTCGATCAGAAGACTAACGAAATGTACATACCACTTAATAGTATGAAAGGCGGACACGGCGGCAAGCTCGAAATCGCGCATAGCATACTGTCCGAAGAAGCAGTACTGGGATACGAGTATGGCATGGCCATAGACGATCCTCAAAAGCTGATCATTTGGGAAGCACAATTTGGTGACTTTGCAAATGGTGCACAAATCATGATCGATAATTTTATTATAACTGGTGAAAGTAAGTATTAGTGTCGAAAGTCGTCGTAATAGAACAAAATTTTGGTTAACGATAATACATGTGTGACGAGGAAAGTTAAAATGGACCTATGGTTACAAAATTACTATTTTAGCAAATTTTATATAAGTGGTTACGCTCTTTTTAATGCAATAAACCGAGACTTGCTAGCTGCATTAGTTGTGCACAAATTCAGTTCAAAGATTGACAAAAAAAAATACAAATAACATTCACATGTTAACTATAAAGCCTTTTAGTTTAGGAGAAACTTGTTTTTGATTCGTAGATCCTTTTTTAACTTTCAACGTCACATATGTAAACACCTAAATATAATGTACATATGCTTCCTGTTATATTTTCACCGACATGCAGCCAAGTGGATGGACTCAAATGGTTTGGTGATATTGCTACCGCATGGCTATGATGGTGCCGCATCCGAGCACAGTTCCTGCCGCATTGAACGATTTCTACAGCTCTGTGATTCCAAAGAAACCACACCCGATGGAGACAATGTGAATGTGAATATTGTTAATCCCACTACATCGGCGCAATACTTTCATTTGCTACGTCGCCAGTTGTTGCGTAATTTCCGCAAACCACTCATTGTGGTTGCACCGAAAATAATGCTGCGTCACCCGGCTGCCACGTCCACGCATGTCGACTTCCAGTCAGGCACACATTTCCGCAATGTGCTAGGTGAGTTTTTCGTTTTCTGTGTCAGTTGAGGCATTATCGTTAGGGCATTTGAAAGCTCATAGTAAAATTTCAGTGGTTTTAAATTTAAATTAAGCAACAAATTTGAGCGTTTAAAGAAAAGTTTAACGACGCACAGTGTTCGAAAAAAAACCCGAAAAAGGTGACCAGAAGGTGTCGTTGGATTTATATAATTTTTGAAATACTTATGTTTTTGAGGTCGTTCATTACGATTCCGCATGTAAAAATGGTGGTTGAAAAAGTTTTTCATTACGATTCAGCTACGCAACAAAACTGTCTTATTTAACCAATTGAGTAATATTTTTTTTCCATAACTTTTCAATACTTATGATGATTTTGTTTGTACTGACAAGGCTTCAAAGGGCAGAGAATGTGCATTTATTGGTTTACAAGAGTGTGACATTTTAAGAAACGAACACAAAATTTGCTCACTGTTTGCCTTTAATTTAGAATCGAACATGAAAAGAGAAAAATGCAATCAAAAGGCCACTTTTTTTTGTAGAAACGAAAACACCATTAGTTACACAGGGCAACAATAATTTTGATGCGGTAAATGTTTAAACTCTTCATGATAGATTTTTTTATGCTCATTACAAATTCGTGGATAAAAAGCTTCCCTCAGCTCCAGATTTTGAGAAAACGTGGTCAAGGTGTTAAAAAAAAACATTTTTGGCAATGTTTGAGAAGCTCTAACAAAGAAACAAAAGATGATAGAATTTTCTATATTTGACATTATGCGCTAAAAACTCTGTGGAGCAGGATTTTGTTGAAAAAATCTGAAGTAAAGTCTCTCTTGACCTTATGATTAACGTGTGCTGGGTAATGCTTAGTCCTTAATGCCCTTTGAAGAATGTGTACGATGTATAAGTTATAAAAAAGGCTTCAATTAGATGACGCCGTGCGTTTTTAGTGGGAAATTCCTTTTTTCTCATACAGTGTGCATTCGAAAACGTGATAATACAAAGCATCAATCTCTTTTATTTTTAAACCTCAGCAGATTTTAATGCCAAACATGCGCAATCACGGTTAGTTACCTTTAGGTTAAGACCTGTTTCCTAGTGCAGTTTAGAAATAAAAGGGACTCATGCTTTGCATTATGACGTTTTCGAATGCACCCACACTTGTAAATGTGGCAACTCTTAGACAGTTCAAAGAACATCGTACCAATCAAATCGTTATTTTAAATTAATACTCCTTTGCTTTTGTGATTTTGGAGGTCAATGCGTAAAAGTGAATATTCGCAAATGCGTAAAAGTGAATATTCAGAAATGAATTTTTATGTTGTAAATGTGACTGTGTCCTTGAACCAGATTCAACTGGAGCGATCTGGAACGATGGAAATTCCGATTAGACTATTTTGGGGGAGTGTTCCCGAGTTAGAATAAGTGAAGTCCAAAATCGATTTCAAAAACGGTAACTTTTTCGATTTTCATGTACATAGGTTTCGATAAGGTTCTACGTTAACGGTTATATATATTTACATATATATAAGTCGATTGTATACATATATGTGCAGGCCCGACTATAGAGCGGGGCTGTTTCCCCCCGGTCCACTTTTTCCTTAAATTTAGTTGGAAGATAAAAATTATATAATTTTGTTGAATTTGATTATTTAAGATTCACATAGCTTTTATAATATCCATTAAATGCGAAAGCGCATGTCTTGATCATATAATAGAGTTTTCGCGGCTCTACATTTCTGAAAGTAAATCTCCACATACCTACATAGTTTTCGTACTCAAGTTAACGGAATTAAGGTTATGAGCAGGGAACGGATTTTATGGAAATTGCCTTTTTTCTGCTGAAGAGATAAAGTATATTCGATTAAGAAAGTCCACGATTTAGCTTTCCCTGATTCCATATATAGACATTTGATGTTGCCTTTTTTTGCCTTTTTTAAGATATTTGCCCTTTTTTTGCCTTTTTTAAGATATTTGCCTTTTTTTGCCTTTTCTAACTTTAAAAAAGTGATTACAGCATTTACAATTTTTTTTAAGATTAAAAAATATACACATGCCCATGCGGCTTATAGAAGCGCAGGGACCTCTTGCCAAATTGGTGTTGGAAAAATTTAAATCCGTTTTCTCAGCTAAGGTAGGCTTAGAGACAATAAGGGGTGTGGATAAAATTGTAAAGGGCGAGGAAAACGCCCTTATTCCTGATAATATGAATGTTTCAAACGTTCCATATTTAAATTGGGCTCCACTTGTATCAACTTACGTCGAGCGCACATTTAGTACATTCAAGGCTTTTCTTCGCGAAAATCTAATGAAAATGCTGCCAGAAAACTTCAAAATGCATCTTGTGGTTCAATGTTACTACAACTATATAGATAAAAGTTTTATGAGTTAGAAACTCGAAAGGATAAAATAGTCAAAGATTCGAAGTACAAATTTTTCATATAATGAAACTAGTTCATAGTTTTTCAATTTTTACTTGTAATATAAACATTTCTAAAATAAATGTATTTTTTGATTGTTCTTCGAATTTTCTGTCTTTTTTTATTGCCTTTTTTGCAATACCTAATGCCTTTTCCTGCCTTTTTCGCTATTTTATTTTGCCTTTTCCAGCCTATTTCGTTATTTTATTTTGCCTTTTTTATAGGTTTTTAGGTCCTAAACATCCGTTCCCTGGTTATGAGTTATACAAGACCGATAGAATAGAATGTATTCGTTTCAACATGACGAGTTACATATATACACATTGTCAAATACATGTGCATACATACGCATACATAAGTTAATATATAACCTTTTTGTTTCATCATTTAAATTTTAAATTGTTGTCTTTATGTACATATGAGCCGTTTATTTTGAAAGTGGCATAAGTCACTTCCCAGCTCTTATGCTTAAATGACCGTTTGCTGGTATCTGAATGCGTCGGTTATTCGTTCAACTTCATCAACCAATGGTAGAAGGTTTTGCCATTAGTTTACGATGATGGAACGATTTGCAGATGCATTTGGCTTCAAGCAAAAAGGCGAAACAACATCGTAAACGAACTGGAAAATGTCGTGACAAATACATATTTAATTTTTTTTTTTCATAACATGATGTGGGGAGTTGTAATTCGATTAAATCCATCCTATAAATCAAAAAGTGAAAATTGAATATTTTATTATTTAGTTATGACTTTTTGCATTTCAACGTTGATGTTTGTTACGTTCATTTTGCATTTCAGGTGACAATATATGTGCATATGTATTCGTTTTGATAACCCATACATTTTTTTTCAATTTAGGTGATGTTACCGTTAATGCTGACCAAGTACGTAAAGTCATCCTTTGCTCGGGCAAGCACTTCTTTGTATTGGATGAGGCGCGCAGAACCAAAGGCATCAACGATATCGCCCTGATACGACTTGAGTCATTGTGTCCATTTCCAGCCTACGAATTACAAGAAGAGTTAGCCAAGTACAAACAGGCGAAGAGTAAGTGTACATATTTCAATCACAAAAACCACACACCTGTACCTGTGATTATGCTCTTGCTAAAATATTAATGCTTTTGTCTTTCTGCACAATTCATCGGCATTCATCATAGGCTTTGTGTGGAGTCAGGAGGAGCATCGCAATATGGGCGCTTGGAATTTTGTACGACCACGCTTTGAATGCTTAATTGGCAAGCAGGTACATAGCTATTGTATATCGTAACATAATTCTAACCACATCTCCACTAATTCATGGTTAATATACACGTTTGCAGCTTAATTATGTTGGCCGTTCTGAAGCAGCCACCACGGCCACCGGCATTGGCAAAGTGCACAAACGTGAGGCGGACGAGATAGTGGCTAATTCTCTTAACTAAGAGAGATGAGTAATGTGTAGGGCCAAATTGAATTTTTTGTTTTTTTGTACATTGAGTTTGCATTTAAAATATGTTTTACATTTTATAGATTTTAATAAATATTTTTGAGCGTATGATTAAGAACAGTTTTTGGTATGGTTAAAATGTATCTGATTTACTCTGTCGATTTTTATTCTGCTAAGTAATTTAAAA